GAAGAAGAAGGAGAAGCAGGAGCAGGAGCGGGAAGAGGAGGAGGAGGAGGAGGAGGAGGAGGAGGGGAGCAAGGAGTGACATGGGAAGATATACTGCTTAGGAACGAAAGTAAAACAAGAGATGGTGGGGGTGGAGAGATCAAACGCAGAGTATTGCTGATTATTGAGACAGTTGACTTACTGGTTCATAAATCCTTGGAATTCCATCGCTGTCATCGTCATCATCATCGTCCGCCTCTGAATCCGCATCCCTTCAGAAAACAAAGGTCTGGTTTCTTCAGAAAACAGGTTATAAATTGAATTGGAGAGTTTAAGTGAAATGGAAGTGGGTTGAAGATTTTTCTATCCTCTGCGCTTTTCAAAACTCTCGCCTTCTGAAGTCGTAACCACACTCGTAGAAAATTAATAGCCAAGCTACAGAAGGTTTAAAGTTTGACAGGGAGGATAATGCCTAGGAAGACGCTCAGAAGGACCTGTTCTTGTTCAGAACAAGAGTCTATCTAACAAGTTGCAAGTGATCATAACCAGAAAGAAAGCTGCTAGGAAGGCCCGGCACGCGAGTCATCACTCAGGCCGTCCTGAGATTACAAAAACAAAGGAATCCCACATGCCAGCGGAGGCAGGCAGATCGCGACAAGAATGCGACCTTCAAAGGGCTGACATGCGAGGACGCAAAGGCAGCTGCCGGCCGGGTTCTGAGGTCACGAATGGCCAGGGGCAAAGCGAGCACGCCAAGTGTCACACTGAGGACACCACATGATGGCTGCTCGCATGAGCCACTAGCAGAGGGGCCAATAGGGAACAAAGGCCGTTGGCCCTTAAATACGCTGTTACCACTGGAGACGAGGCTTTGCTACTGGGGACACGATGTTCTGCTGTTGGCGACACGAGACTCTGTTGCCGAGGCATGCTGCTGTCGAGACGAGACCGACGACAGAAGATTTGCTGCTGACGGACACAGGACGAGCTGCAGACACTATCTAGCTACAGACAATACCGAGGTGCAGACAATACCGAGCTGCACAGGAGGATAAGCTGCCGGACCCACAGAATACAGAGTTGATGTACAAGCAGAAACAGTGACAGTAAACTATCCTCCGCTATCCTATCTGTCTTCCTTCCCTAACAAACAACTGGGAGATATGACCAGTGTCGACGCAGGCGCACACAAGGTCATAACAAGGAAGAAGGCCCTGGAAACAAAATGAGGGCATCAATTAGGAAGTCAGCCAGTCAGACACAAGTGCTGACTTGGGATTAGGGGTGCAGTATGCCCCAGTGAGAGGAGAGGAGTTTCGTTGTCAAGACCCAACAGGCACGCGACAGTCCAACCGTTGGTTTCGATTATGTCCACCGCGGTGACCTGCACGTGGATTACTTCTACGTGATAGAAGACTTGCGTGGCATCCCCTCACCCATATGTACCCGGTGTTAAGATAGAGTCAACAAGACCCTAGGTGGGATCAGACGCAAGTGGTTGGCACGGCCCCTTTGCGTGTCACCACGCC